GTTTATTTCTTAGAGTTCTGGGGGCTGGAAAGTCTAAGATCAAGGGGCCAGCATTTGGTTTCTGGTGTTGACCTTCTTGCTGCATTTTACGTGGCAGAAGAGGCAAAAAAGCCAGAGAGGATGAACTCTCAAAGCAGAGGAAATGAAGGGCAAAAAGGGCCTAGCTAGTTCTCTCCAACCCTTTTATAAAGTCACTAATCACCTCCCAAAAGCCCCGCCTCATGCTATCACACTGGGATTCAAGTTCCAATATATGAATTTTGGAGGGACACATACGTTCAAACCATAGCACCATTTCTGAAGGGATCACATGTCTGCATGGTATTGTGTCCAGTATCTACAAAACATTACTTCATATATTTTTCTGGTTTTCTAATTGCTTTAAGGGGAAGAATGAATCAGTCTCTTTTACTTCATTATACCTAGAAGCAGCCATTCTAGAATCATCTTGAAATTCTTCATCTTGATATCCAGTAATTCACTGGTAATAATTTTACTGTATTTTATAAAAGTATCAACCTGTGATGGAAGAGAAGTTAAAAACAAAACAAATCAAAGACAACAACAACAACAAACAACCTGAATAAAAAAATAAGCAAAAGACTTGAATAGACATTTCTCTAAAGAAGATAGAGTAGTATCCCCAGTTTTGCTCCTCACGGTTTCAGTTACCCACAGTTGACCACATTATAAATGCTTAGTTAAGATAGAAAAGGCATTGAATTTGTGGGTGGGAGATATGAACATTAACGTGTTTTGATTGAGAGCGATCAAATTCGATACTATCTGAGGTTTCAGGCCTCTACTAGGGATCTTGGAACATAGCCCCTGTAGATGAAGGGGGACTACTGTATGCAAATGGCTTATGAACAGATGAAAAGATGCCAACATTTCTAATCACTGGGGAAATGCAAATCAAATGCATGGTAAGATACCACCTCATGTCCATTAAAATGGCTGTAATCAAAAAACTCCAAAAACAACAAGTGTTGGTGAAGATGTGAAGAAGCTGAAGACCTCATGCATCACTCATGGGGACAGAAGCAGGAGCAGACACTAAGGAAAAAAGTATGATGATTCCTCAGGAATTTACAAATAGATTACCATATGGCCTAGCAATTCCACTTCTGGGCTTATACCCAAAACAACTGAAAGCAGGGACTCAGACACATACTTGGACACTCATGTTCATAGCAGCATTATCCACAATGGCCAAAAGGTGGGTGCAACCCAAGTGTGCGCCAGTGGATGAATGAGTGAACAACATGGGAATGCAATATCATTCAGCCTTAAAAAAGAAGGTAATTCTACCACATGGGAAAGCATGGATGAACCTTGGGGACATTATGCTAAGTGAAATAAGCCAGTCCCAAAAGTCCCAAATACTGTATGAGTCCATTATTGTGAAGTACCTAGAATAATCAAATTTACAGAATCGGAAAGTAGAATGGTGGTGCCAGAGACAGGGGCTGGGGAGAATAGGGGATTAGTGTTTAATGGGTACAGTTTCAGTTTGGGAAGATGAGAAAGTTCCAGAAATGGACAGTGTTGATGATTGTGCAACAGTGTGAATGTACTTAATGCCACTGCTCTGTATACTTAAAAATGGGTAAGATGGTAAATTTATGTTATGTGTATCTCATCACAAAAAAGAATACTTAAAAAAAAAAAGCAAAACACACACACACACACAATACAACTTAATATTCTCCTCAGATTGTTGGAGAATCACTGATCTTAAGAGACTAAACATAGGAAAAGGCCTGAGTGAGGGGGAGTTTGGGACGCTTTCTGCCCAGGATGAAATATGACAAACAATTAGCCTCAGGCCACCAAAGTATTATATCACCCGGCCAGGGAACCAGGAAAGTCTTAACATGTCAAACCTATAAAACCCGCCAAGGTTTTTGTTTTTATATCCTTCTGTTTTTCTATTCAATTAGCAGTAAATGGCCCATGTGTTGGGGTTCATGGAGAGTGAACAAGGCAGAACCCAGGGAGGCTGTGTTGTCTTCTGTAGTGGGTCTTGGGGAGAGACCCCAAGAAGTTGGGGAGGTGGTGGCTGTTCTGAGGAAGACCAACAACAATTAAGTCCTTGTGGATGAAAGGAAGGAAGAGGAACACTACCAGCCCAGAATGTATTGTTTAGCATGAAAAGGAGAATGCTATTAAATAATACGTATAACATAATCCCATTTCTATACATTAGAAAAATACATGCATATTTCTATGTATATATACATAGAAAAAAATTCCCAGAAGGATATAAATAAAAATGTGAACACTGATTACATCTGGGTGTTCAGATTTAGGGGAGGTTTTACTTCATCTCTTTGAAAGTTTCTGTTTTTTTCACAATAGGTGGGTAAAACTTTTATAATTGGAGGAGCAAGAAAGCAATTTTTATTTAAAAATTCAAAAAGGATTGAGAGGAGATGGTAAGTGGTAATTTTTTGTTTTTTGGATATTTGTGCATAAATTAGTCTATGTTCCATTATTTCTCATTCTATTTTTTTTAACATTAGAGTTCTGACAAGCAGTTTACTCATTACAAAATAATAACCCTTACCATTTTATGTGCTGGAAATGCATTTCATTGACACAGGTCAGATAAGATTAGGAAAGGCATTAGAGTAATTAAGGTCACTGGACTTTGTCATTTAACAAATCCTTAAATCCAATTCTAATCTCATTCATTAATGCCACAAACAGAAGAGTTAATTGCTAAAGTATAACATTTCCTATCCATCTAGATACAAAAGTTATAATGTTAAATGTTATTAATGCACAGCTGCATTGCTTTGTATCTTTAGAGAGGTGCGGATGTATTCAGTATTCTAAGAATTACAGATTTATTAGTTCCGAAGAGGTTATCCCTGGGGCAACTCATTATCACTGGGACAAGCACAGGATGTTCTGTGACAGGAGAATGTCTAAGATGAAACAACCCAATTAATCAAGACAGGGCACGCATGTGGTGACTATACAACAGGAGCAGATGCTGTCAACTCCTGAATTGTCACCACACAGCCCTGTGTTTGAGGCAATACCCCCGAGAACAGGTTGGCTGGTGTCTAACACGGGGACCCTGCTGCTGGGTTGCCACATAGACCTGTGCTCAGTTGCTTCACTTCAGCCCTGACCCAGCTGGAGAGGACAATCCTGTTATCTTAGATTCTTCTGCACCAGACCTTTCACCGCTTTACGAAACAGACAAACTGATGTGAGACTTCACTCCTTCAAATTTATTTTTTCTAACTATGACAAAGGTGTTAAGGAGGAGTAAAAGTTCCTAAAGACAGTCTTGAAAGATCAGCCTCCAAATGTGTTATCTCAACCCCTGGGATCCTCTGCAGCCATTAAAAATGATGTTGTAAGAGGTTTTTAAAGAGATGGGAATGTGTTCACTTCATGCTATTATTGCAAAAAGAGCAGCTTACAAAGAAATCCTATGACTATACCATAGGAGATGAGTCCAATATTGTAAACTAAAAGAATGGAGAGAGTGTTCATCTACTGTAAAAGATGAGAAGAATTAAAAGGCCTAATGTCAACATTTGATGAAGAGAAGAAGGTCTGGTTTTCTTGTTTTTGTTTTTGTTTTGTTCTTTTGTTTGCCTCTATACACTCCTCCATTTTCCAAATTTTCTAGAGTAGAAATATCATTTTCTAAAAAATAAAAGACTCCCAGTAAATGTTATTTTTAGGGTTACTCTCTAAACCAATGATACAGTAGCTTCTATTTTTTGATATCAATTCAATAGCAACAGATATGTTCTTAGAAATCTTCTACATCTCGCCATGTTGGGCTAAGGCTTAAATAGAAATTGTTCAGCTATGCCATATTTTTCTCAAACTAAAATCTTACATGTACTTTAACCTTCTGTATCCATCCAGATAGAAAAAAACTCTCTATAAAAAGAAATAAAATCAGAAACAAAACCAGAAAACAAAATCAGAAAACTCTTACTCAGAAAGTGGAGAAGACATCATCCAATCGGCTCTGTTTTTTCTCAAAGCTCTAACAGGAAGATTTAATCAAGAGGCTGTCTTGGACCAAGGGGTCACTTCCTTTGGGAATCCTTTTCTTTCTTCTTGCTGTGAGATCAGGGAGGAAAAAAATAACAATTGGCATTCCGCTGTGCTCAGAGCTTTAAAAGTACTTTCATACATAATAAGAAGGATGCAAAAAGAAACTCTGTCCAGAACAGTCTGAAGCCTGCTGACAAAGACATCCCTTTACCTGCTCACACTCTGACTCAAACCGTGAGTGGCAGATAAAGGAGTCACAGAGGCACAGAGTGAGGGAACCTACCTTGTCTTTGAGGTGACTTCATGGCAGGCACTGTTCTAATCACTCCTTCTATCTTACAGTGTGCAATCCTTACAACATCATTGAGCCATGGACACCATTTTCTGTGTCAGGGGTCAGCCAACTACAGCCTATGGGCTAGATCCAGCCTGTAGCTTGTTTTTGTACATAGCTTTATTGGAACACAGCCACACTCATTTGTTTATGTATTGTTTCCATCTGCTTTTGTGCTACAAAGGCAAAATTGAGTATGTAGTTGCAACAGAGGCCATTTTTTTTTTCTGAAAAGCCTAAAATATTTACTAGTTGTCTCTTTACAGAAAAAGTTTGGCAACACCTGATCTACGTGGTACTTATGAGAAAATGAGGCCTGAGGATGTTCAATAGTATTTCAAATGTCACTCAGCTACTCACCGGCACAGCCAAGAGTTAAACATGTGTCTATCTGACTTTAAAGCCCACTTTCTTTTCATTTCTCCAAATCAGAATTTAAAGAGTAAGATCTCAACTTCCTTCAAAGTATAGTGTATAAGTGGCATAGCACGTTAAAAACTGAGAGAGATGAGACATGAATAATAGTGCTATTTTTTAAGGCACTTGTGAGACATAATAACTGTTGGAACCCTTAAGCTATGTAAGAACACTGCACTATAAGTTATCTTTTTCCACTTCTAATTTAACTCTACACCAAAAATTATAAGACAAATCATTTGGAAAAAAAAAAAAACTAATGGAATTTTACCAGCAAAATTTGCATTCGATTTCAAAGTACAACTTTCACATTAAAACAGACCCTAAAATATTTGATGTGTTTCCTTAGTGTGCCATGGGACCACCAGCACGAACTTGCTAGCTCTTTCCCAGCTAGATAGGGATGGGGGATAGGGCAAAGGGTGCTTAAAATAAAAGTCTGACTTTTTCTTCGTAGCATGGCTTTTGTTTTACATGTCAGTTTCTCTTTCAAGACCGTTATTGCTTAACTCCTTCACCACTCAATTAGCTGAAGCGAGGTACTTGGCACAGACTGTTGGCAGGTGCCTGATGGAAGAAATTGTTCCTGCTCACCTGCTCACATTGCCTCACCTGAGCCGTCAGAGATTAGCAGCCTTTACCAGCAGCCATTAAATTTCCCCAAAGTGCTACTGGCACCATAAAGGTGCAAGGCTTCAAAAACAGACCCCAGAGAAAGGCGGTAGGCTGGCTCTGTTCACACCAGGGGCGGTAAACGTAGGAAAGCAGCATGTCCCCAGGACTCCAGTCCTTTCCAGATGGAGTCCTAGCTGTTGTGTCAATCCGAGAAAGGCTAGTTGAGGGGGAATAAAATGAAAGATTACCAACTTATTTTTACTTTTGAGACAAGTTTAGAATTTGGGGTTGAAAGTCAAAGTCC